TTCTGGCCGCAAACATTCATGTCTTCCTTCGAGCCGGATCCGCCCCGAATCCGGAGTGAGTGCCTTCTGTAGAGACTGAGATAGTGCCAGTTCATCAAACATCTCCCGGTCAGCGCCATGAGTCTGGACGTCGAGGGCCTTCTGATAAGTCAGGTCGACCTACAAGGTCGCATCACACGAGCAGAAGAAAACCTGAAAAAGACCGGAGCAGCTAAATGCACGATTGGCAATGTAGAATCACGTATGCATACCCTTGAGGCGAATTGGCAGAGGTTCAATCGGCGCAAACCATGACGCACTGCGTACCACGCACTGGAAGTCGGTAAGCGAAAATGGTTACATCACTAAAGACTTCTACACAACTGTCGAAGAAGCTTACCTTTTGAGCAGGAGCTACTTCCTCGATTTACTGCGCGTGATGCGCAGCGCGGAATCAAGGGAAAAGACACCCGTCGCCCGAATTCCACGGAATTGCAACCGCGTCGGACTCTTCCACGAATCCAGCTGCCGGTTTTCTCGGATACGTACGGTGACTGGCCATTCTTCCGAGACCTCTTCCGGTCAATCATCGCCAGGGACCGGGCCCTGACCGATGTAGAGAAGCTGCACTATCTGAAAACTACGACTATCTGAAAACAAGTCTCAAAGATGAATCGGAATTGCTCATTAAGAACTTACCTACGACGGATGATAACTTTCACCGCGCCTGGTCAATGCTCGGATCACTACGAGAACGCGCGCCTCTTCGTGAGATCGACCTTCAGCACTTTTACTTCTTTACCGCGGATGAAGAGCGAATCCGTTGCCGACATGAAACGTATCTTTCACAGTATGCTCAACACCGTCGGCTCACTCAAAAGCATTGGCCGTCCGATTACTAATTGCAGCGATTTCTTTGTGCATCTCACTGTCGAGATGTTAGATCCGCGATCGCGTCGAGAATGGAAGACGCAGATCAGCATGTCATCGGACCCGCTATTGTATGAGACGCTGAAGGAGTTTCTGGAGTGCCGAATGCAAATGCTGGAGACTCTCGGCTTCGACAAGAGCGACGTAGCCGCGCCTGCGATGGTTAAGACCAGTGGCCCTTCGGCTCGTTCTCACGTGGCATAGAAGCAGAGCTGGCTGACCGGTCGCTGCTCCTTGTGCGAGAAGCCTACGTCTTGTCGTGTCCGAAGTTCCAGCAGAAGAAGCCATTGGAGAGGAAGCAGCTCGGCGAAGCAAACAAACTCTGCCCCAATTGCTTCGGGAAGCATCCTCTGTCCGAGTGCATCTCCAAAAAATTCTGGCGGCATGTCGAGGAAGACATCACAGCTCGATCCACGATGCTTGCAACGACGATGGTCGTTCCGGCAACCGCCTCTGCGTCGCTGCATGCCTCCCAAGGCAGGCGCGCGGTCGTGCTCTTGGCCACAGCGCATATCGAGATCGCGGATCGGGTCGGTGAGCGTCACCCAGTGCGCGCCTTGGTGGACTCTGGATTCGAGGTTTCAATCGCAAGTGAGGCTCTTGTTCGATGCCTCCGATTGCCGGTCTGCAGCCGCGGTTTCCGTGTACGGTGTGGGAGGCAAACACACGGGCACCGCGAAGGGTCGAGTAACGCTGCACGTATTCTCCCGGATAGGAGAATTCTCTGCACAGCTCTCCGCGCTCGTGTTACCGCGAATTTCGGTGGGCACCTTGCACATCGGGGCCGCGCGCGCGACATGGCCTCACGTGCAAGACCTTCCGCTTGCCGACCTGACTTCCACGCTGCAGATCCGGTGGAACTGTTGCTGGAAGCAGACATCATGGCAGTCATAGTGGAGGACGGCCTCCGAAAGAGTGGTCCGTCCGTTCCAATCGCCCAGAAGACGTTCTTAGGCTGAATCCTCTCGGGAGTCGTCGGTGAGTCGGGGGAGCGCTGTGTGATTTCGTCTTTCCGGTGCGTGGTCGAGGACGAGCTGACGGCGATCGTGATGGTGCGACGATTCTGAGAGCAGGAGGAGCTCCCGTACACATCGGTCCCCCTCATCGAGACGGAGCAACAGTGCGAGGATCATTTTGTTCGCACACACACTAGGTTGTTGATCGGTCGCTACATGGTGCGATTTCCGACGGTTCCTGCACTGCTGCCGCTCAATGAGATGAAGCGAGCCGCGAGGCGCGTCGCGGGGCGCTCCGCATAGCTGCGACGGTCCTCTCCGTCGCCTTGCCAAATCGCCAACTCGCTTCTCTCAATCCTCGAATTCCCCGGGCCCGTTGCTCTTCCGGGTGGTCCCAAACGGCGACTTCTCCTCTCCTCTTCAAGGAATGTTCGGTGAGGCGCCGGTTACATGAAAATAAATCGAGACTAAGTACGCGGTTCAACGCGAGACCCCCGGGAGATTTCGGCCTCTTTGCTCCTTCCGGTCCGGCCCGGCCTTGAGCGCTTACAACGCCTTTTGTGTCGGGGAAGCGACGGTGTTCCTTTGCAGCGGAGCCCCACGTCACAATATATATATATATATATATGGGAGCGTCCCGTTTGACCACGTCCCGATTGACCACAGCCACTCACAGCGGCCGGTGCCTAGAGATTTTCCACTGTTCAAGCGCTGTGAGTGGCT